TCGGGAGTTCCACGAAGTGCTGCCTCACCTGCCGCCTCCCTACCCAGGCCTCCCCTTCTCGGTGTTGGGGGCTCAGAGGCCAGCCTTTGCCTCTTCTTCCTCCCTGGCACCACCTGGGGCAACAATGACCCTTTTAATTCTCTGGCTCCGGTGTCCTGGGCAGGTTGCCAGGGGCCGTAACTGCTAGCCAGATAATCCCTTAGAAACTATGTCAAATGCCCACACGGGAGTGTCTGTCTCCTGCTTTCCGGGCAGTTGAGGGGAGATGATGGCGGTCCCAGGACCCCGTGGTCAGGGAGCTGGTGCTGCTCTGTGCAGAGCAGAATGGGGAGGGGAGGACTTACCTGTCTAGGAGGCAGGATGGCCTCTGGGCAGGTGGCGGCAGCCAGGGCTCAGGTGCCCGCCTGGCATGGGGGTGGGGAGGGGCCCCGAGGTTTGAGCTCTGTCCTCCCCACTTGGTTCCCCAACTTTTCCTCCCTTGCAGAGGCAGCGTTCTGTCCCGTGGCAGGTGGAACCAGCAGGACAAGGTGCACAATGCCAGAGAGAGACAAGCTGCTGGTTGGGTGTGTGGCTTTGTTGCAAGGTGCTCTCACGTGGGAGCAGCTGGCCTTAACCCCTGCTAGCCCAGAGGCTAGGGACACTGAGGGACTGACTGCCCTGTTTGTGCCACTGAGCGCCAGGCCCTGGCATCAGCACAGGGACTGGAGCATACAGGCGGGTCCTCGGGAAAACGAACAGCTCTCAGCTCCCCTTCTCATGGCCCTCCTGGAACCTGGGGCTGACAAGCCCTTCCAGCAGGCGTTCCATCCCACAGATTACTACAGATTACTGGCTCCTTCCCGCTGGACAGATCTGAGTGCAAATTCTGCCAGTGCTTGGACTCCTGGATTCCTACCCTAGGAGTCTTCAACTGTTACCTTGCTGGGCAGCTTCGGGCAAGTTGCTGCGTCTCCTCAGTTTTCCCAGCTGAAGAATGGCAAGAACCCACCAGCCTCTGCTTCCTAAGACTGTTTCAGAAGTTGGATAAGTGAATGGGTGTCTGGACAGTGCTTATAGAACCATACTGGGTACGAAGTACGTCCACATCCTCTAGCCACTATCCATCCACAGGTCAGAAAGAAGAAGGTGCGGGTAGTTGTAAGACACACGTCAGATCTGGAAGGCTCGGCATGCAAAAAAAGGACATAAAATAACTCGTTTTTAATTTTGATTCCCACACCTAGAATGTTTTGGGTTAGGTGACATATATTGTTAAAATTAATCTTACCTATTCACTTTTCATGCTTCCAAATGTGGTCACTAGGAAAATTTAAAATGACATTTAAAGTTTTAAATTTAAACTGGCTTGCGTGGTCATTCTATTGGACAACGGGGGAGCAGGGGCTTAACGCGTACTATCCATCACGTTCTGTCGTCGTTGTATTGCATCTGTGATCTTTTCCAAGTATTTATTAGCACCGAAACTGCTCTGTGTCTCATGCCTGTTTATCTGTCTTCTCTAGGATGTCGCCTCATTGAGGTTATGGATTTTAGTCTTGTTCATTCCTGTGGCCTAGAACAGCATCTGGTACACAGTAGGTGCTCAATAAATATTTGTGGCCTGAATGAATGAGTGGATGGATGGATGGATGGATGGGTGGATTATGGGGAAGGGGATGGAAGGACCATGAGTCCTCCTACCAGGGGCACCTGGCGCTAATGGTAACAGCCGCCAGGGGGCGCCAGAAACCAGGTAACCGGCCCCAGCCAGGCAGCCTCAGTTTCCCAGCCTGCAAAATGGGAATCCAGGAGCAGGACCCTGTGAAAGAATGAAGTAGGAGAATCAGAAGCTGCGAGACCCCCGCCTGCGACCCCACCGGGATCCCTGCCCCTCCTCTCCTTTCCCTGCCCGAACTTCCGTGCCTCCCACAATGCCAGTTTGGGGTTGTTTTTCCCAATAACGCACTCACTCAGAAGGTCAAGTTCTCATGCAGTCTTGCTAAAATCAGCAGTGCCCTAGTCACCCCACCATTTCTCCCCTCCCAGAGGCACCCCCTCCTTAGCGTCTTTTAACTGATTATTTTGACATTCACTTCCGCATGTCTTAAATAAGACCAGTTTGGCCACTTTTTTTTTTTTTTTTTTTTTCAGTTTTAGTGTTGACTTCCTTCCAGGAGACATTCTGAATCAACCTGAAAGTTGATTTTTTTTTTAATTTGGTTTCTTTTCATGACCTTATCACTGGCCCAGCCACCCAGCCCTTCTCCAGTTGGAGTCAGTGGTTGTCAAATTCAAGCATCTGAACTGCCTAGAGTAAGGGTGGGGGAATGTTGCTTGAAACCCAGATTATAGGTCCCACCTATGGAGTGTTTCATACACGAAGTCTGGGGCTGCCTGAGAATCTGCATTTTAAAAAAACGCTCCTGGGTAAAGCTGCTACAGACAGTCCAAGGACCATGCTTTGAGACCCATCCCTCTAACCTTTCAAAAATGGGTTTTAAAGGAGGGGCGCCGAGTTGGCTCAGTCAGGGGAGCGTGTGACTCTTGATCTCGGGGTTGTGAGTTTGAGCCCCGTGTTGGGTGTAGTGATGACTTAAAAACAAAAATAAAATCTTAAAAAAGAAACAAAACAGATTCAAGATGATTCAGGAGATCCATCATGGCATATGTCCAAAGGGCTCTTTCTGGAGGCTTTATGTTATTGTTGGTAAATGATGGTAAAAAGGCACACAACATAAAATTTACCATTCTCACCATCTCTAAATGCACAGCTCAGCGGCATGAAGCACACTCACACTGTCCTGCAGCCACCTCCACCCTCCACCCTCCATCTCCAGAACTTTCCATCTCCCCACACGGAGACTCTGTCCACACAAAGCACGAACCCCCACCCCCTGCCCCAGCCCCGGCTCCCACTGTCTCCTCTTTGTGTGGACGGGACTCCTCCGGGGCCCTCCTGGGAGTGGAGTCCTGCGGGAGGTATCCTGCTGGGTCTGGCTCCTCTTCCTGGGCCCCCCCCACATCGTGGCAGGTGTCAGGGTCCCTTCCTTCCTGAGTCTGAATAACATTTCAGTGTGTAGATGGACCACATTTTGTTTCTCTTTAATCCTTTGAATCCCTTAAGTCTTTGGATTCCACTCTCTGCTGGCTCCCTTCTAACCAGGTACAGCTAAACTGGGGGTCCCTTTTGCCACACCCTGAGTCCTGTTCCCCATCCCTTCCCTTTTATTAAGAAAATTATTTATTTATTTATTTTTAAAAGATTTTATTTATTTATTTATTTGACAGATCACAAGTAGGCAGAGAGGCAGGCAGAGAGAGAGAGAGAGAGGAGGAAGCAGGTCTCTGCTGAGCAGAGAGCCCGATGCGGGGCTCGATCCCAGGACCCTGGGATCATGACCTGAGCCGAAGGCAGAGGCTTAACCCACTGAGCCACCCAGGCGCCCCTTAAATTTATTTTTAAAATTTCTTTTCAGTGTACCAGAATTCATTGTTTATGTACCACACCCAGTGTTCCATGCAACACGTGCCCTCCATAATACCTACCACCAGGCTCACCCAACCTCCCATACCATTATCCCTTCCCTTTCTTGATTTGTCTCCTTATATTGATGGGAAAACATTTTGGAAACATCTTTCTAACCTCTGGGTATGATTGTGACCTGCTCAATCTTCCTGATTCCCCATTGTCCCACTGCCAAGCACCCCAGAGCCCAGTCTCCCACCTACCTTGCCAGCACCCCAGACAATGGTGAGTGACCAAGTTTCCAGGGTCAGACAGGCTTGGGTGAAAACATTCTAGGTCTGTCCCTTACCATATGGGGACCCAAATCCCTCCATTTGCCCTCCCCCCAGCTGAAATCGTTAGTCATGAACAAAACTAATAATAACAACATTTATTACCCCCTGAATCATGACCTCAGAATTAGTAACCACCAAGCCATATCATCAATAAATTCACCATTAAACTTTAACGATGATGTGAACACAATTATTCTTTTTTTTTTTAAGATTTTATTTATTTATTTGACAGACAGAGATCACAAGTAGACAGAGAGGCAGGCAGAGAGAGAGAGGGAAGCAGGCTCCCTGATGAGCAGAGAGCCGGATGCGGGACTCGATCCCAGGACCCTGAGATCATGACCTGAGCCGAAGGCAGCGGCTTAACCCACTGAGCCACCCAGGCGCCCCAAACACAATTATTCTTAACCCAGTTCATAAATACACTGACAGGCAGCATGATTCTTTGTGATTTCCAGCAAGTGACCTCCACGTTCTGAGATCCTGTTTTCTTTGTGTGTAAAACGGGAGTGATGACAGTCCCCATCTGGTTGATCAATTCTATCAAATATTTATTTCCTTCTAGGTTTTATGTTCTATATTAGGTACTGGATAAGTATTATTAACAAGGAATAGACCCCCTGACTTCCGGAGAGACTGCTCACAGAAGCTTTCACACCCAATCCAACATTTAATTACACTGTTACTTGTAACTTGCCCGTATGTTACACATTGTGTTATGTATTATATATGACGCTTGCACGTTCTCTGTCAACATTATCTCTACGCTAGTAATATCATACTTTTGTCCAGCAATGGTATTAATATGCCTGGACCTTAACCTCACGTACTTTATATACTGTGCTTGCTTGTCAGTACAAATCAAATTTATTTTGGCTTATTACATCACTTATTACGTCATTATAAGGACTACTCATGACCAAGCACGCACCATACGTAAGTGTCATGGGCGCTCTGATGGTAAATAGTTGGTTAATTGTAGACGGTGCTTGGGTTTATGACGTGTGACAGTTCCAGCCACAGGATCAGACGACGCGCACGGCGCCGTCCTTCCACCCCCTGGGCGCGTGGGGGCGCTCGAGACGCGGGGATGCACGCAGGCCGCCCGGCCCCCCCCACGCCCCAGTCCCTGCCGGCGGCGCGCGCGCGCTGCGCGCTGGCGCACGCTGGTCCCGCCCTCGGGCCCGCCCCCCGCTCCCCGGGCCCGGCCCCCTCCCTCCGCCCTCCAGCCGGCGGCGGTTGTTGTTCCGCGGCGGCGGCCGCAGCTCGGGTGCAGCCTCCGGCCGCCCGCCGTCCGGCCGGTCCGCGCGCGCGGCCATGGAGCTAGAGGTGCCGGACGAGGCGGAGAGCGCCGAGGCGGGGGCCGTGACCTCGGAGGCGGCCTGGGCCGCGGAGAGCGGGGCGGCGGCAGGTAACGGTGCCGGACCTCCCTCCCTCCCCGCGCCCCGAATGGGCCCGCCCGGCCTCCCCCCGCCGCGGCCCAGTGGAGCCGCCCGAGCGCCTGAGGGGCGCCGGGACCCGCCGCGGGGAGGCCGGAACGTTCCACTCGTGGGCGCCCGCTGGGGCGGGGGGATGGGACTCCCCGCGCGGGGGACTCGCGGGGGCGCCGCCCTTCCCGGGGGTACCGGGGGCGCGTGCGGTGCCCGGAGCTGGGAGGCCGAGGGGCCAGCAGCCCCCCTTCGGAGGCACGTGGTGGGGGGGTGAGGCCACGCGGTGGGTGGGCGCGCTGCCTCCGGCCCGGGGCGCCTGGAGACGGCGTCCCACCCGGTCTTGTCGGCGGGGGGCTGCTCTCCGTGTGTGGGACGGTGGAGCACCCCCGTTCTGGGGAGGGGCCATGCTTCCGAGGTGGGCATGGCAGGGGAGGTGATACCGCCCCAGGTGTGCCCCCCCCTTCCGAGACAGACTGTTGAGGCCGCCCGCTTGCTGGGGTCAGCTCCTGGGATCACCCCTGTGGGCACGTCTTCTGGGTGGTGAAGGGCAGAAGCTGCCAGGGTGGGTGGGTGGGGGGGTCTCTGAGGCCATCTGGGCCAGCCTCCTGACTGTCTCATCTGTCTCCGTGGGAGTCACCGGACCCGGTTTCTAGCGCACTGGCCATTCATTGCCTTTCTGGGCCTCAGTTTACCTCCTTATGACAGGAGGGGACTGAGGACATGCCATCTGGGGGTGCCTTCAGAGTCAGGGCTCTCTCTGCAGGCAGGTGGGGGAGAAAGAGTTGCCCCCCCAGCCTTTTCCCTGGACACTGGAGGGCGACTGTTGGCATGTGGGGGCCCTGATCCTCCCTCGCCCTCCAGAATAGCAGGTGTGTGGGGCCAGGTGGCCTGGCCCAACCCCGTGGGCTGTTGGCGAGCCAGCCATACCCTGGGCAGAGCCAGGCTGCTGCCCAGAGGAATGGCCCCTTCTCCAAGCTTCCTTCTGGGTCACATTCTCCAGCTTCCAGACAGAAGTTTCCGGATCTGCGGGATCGGCTGCTCTCCTCAGGCAGCCCTCGCTAGCGGAGGCCCTGCAGACACCCACACGGGCATCCGTCCTCCTTCTCCCCCAGGCCTCCTGAAGCTTCCTTGGCAGGCGGGATATGCTGTGCGGCTTGGGCGGGGGGGTTGGGCGAAATATCTGGAGAGAGAGCGCCAGGGCTAGCGAGCTTCCCCCCTGGGCTCTGGAAGCCTCCCGCCACTTCTGTCCCTGCTGCCATCTGGAAGTGCTCCGTCGATGACCCGCTTCCTTCGGCCATCCGGTTGCCTCGCCCTTGTTCTTGGCCAGGCACTCGTGCCCCGGCCTCGCTAGCCTTAGACATGGTTCGGGGACCCAGACACACTCTGTTTCATCAGACCCCTGACCTCCACCATCAGCCCTCCGACCAGGGCTGGTTAGAGACAAAACAGCCCAAGAATCAGTGACGACGAGGAAGCCACAGAGCAAACATTTGTTTTGTTAAGGGCTCAGATGGGGGCAGATAAGGTCCCAGGCACCTGGGGTTGCTGGTTCTAAGCACTGTGTGTGCGCGACCCGGAAGATAAGGGTCCAGCCCCGGCGGTCTGTCACCAAGATCCACAGAAATCTGATTCCCCCAGCAAATCATTTATTTCACTCAGTTTAAAATTAAGAGCTGTTGCTTCCTTTCCAAACTCATTTCTCTGATGTAAATCCTAAGTGTGGGTGATAACCGTCCAGGCTTTTTCTCTTGCTCATAGAAATGTAGAAATCCATAAACATGTCTGCTTCTTCTTCGCCAAGATGGTTCCATGCCCCACTAGGGGTTCTCCGCCTTGGCATTATTGGTGTTTTGGGCTGGAAGATTCTTTGTGTTGGAGGCAGTGTCTTGGGCCCTGGAGGGGCCTGAGCAGCATCCCTGGCCCCGCCCATTCAGTGCCAGGAGCACCGCCCCTGAGTTGAGACGACCGTAAATGTCCCCAGACCTCTCCCGTGTTCCCTGGAGACATGGCCACCCTAGGTGACAACCGTTGACCTCACTCTATGTTATCCCATAACTTGGCTGGCTTTTTATCCACAGGAATCTGAATTTCCCACCCCAGCTGTTGGTATCAGTTACTTTCTTCAGAGGGAGAGAATATGGGGCCATGGTTAAGAGGGGGAGAAGCCCAGTCAAACCGCCTGGCTTCCACTCAGTTGCTGTGTGACCTTGAAGGGCAAATGCCTTGACTTTTCGGAGCCTCAGTAGCCCCGTCTGTGAAATGGAGTGATGTGTGTGCCTGCTTGGGGCTGGCCGTGAGCCTCGCCTGAGTTAGCGTGAGGCAGCGTGTGAGACTGCTTGGGGAACCTTTGGGACAGCCCGTTACTGGTTCAGCCAGCCTCCTGCTGAGGACCATTCTGGCTGCTTCTGGAGTCCACCATTTCCTGTAAACATCCTTGAACTTGGCCCCTAACTGTGGCTCTTGAACTCCTGGCGGTTGAAGTCTCTACTTTGGAGTGCCTGGGCCGTGGCGAGCAGCTTGAAAATTGTTCTCTGATGCCCACCGGCTTTCCAGAAAGGTCTGGCAGGTGCCGAGAGAGACCCTTACCCCAGTGTTGCCAACTCCAAATGTTACCAGCCTCCTTGGTTTTGGCCAGTCTGATGGAGGTGAAATGATAAACACTATGTGTTTAGAATCTGGTTATGTAAATGGTCTGGTCCAGAGAGGGCTGGATGGGGTCTTCTGCCGGCTTTTGGGGGCTTAGATGCGTCCACAGTGTCGGCTCTTGGGACCTGTGACCTGCCTGGGGGTTTTGGCCTGAGCCGAGGTGTGGTTTTCTGAGCCATTTCCCCTCCCATTCTTCCTGCTTCCATGATATCACAGAACAGTTGGCTTCCCTCCCAGCAGCAACCCCCCCCCCGCCCCCTCCCACATCTAATCTGGTGGCAGATTATGCTGGTTTTGTCTTCAGAATGGACCCAGAGTCTGCCTACTTCTTCCTTCTCTGTCCCACCTGGTCTAGTCCCGTCATCCATCGCTGGCCTGGTATCCCGTCTCTTCCATGCTCCCAGCAGCTCATTCCAGAAAACTGACTTAGGTCCCACTCTCCTCTGCCGGTAGCCCTCCAGGACACCCACCTTCCTGGGGTAAAAACCCAAGTCCTCCACGAGGCCCATGAGGCCCTGCATGACCTCCCTCTTTCCCCCTCGCCCACTCTGCTCCAGCCGCACGGGCCCCTTCGCTGTTCCTCCTACACACCAGGCCTGGTCCTGCCCCAGGGCCTTTGCACATGTGCCCTTATCCTTCATATCTATGTTGTTTGCTTTCTTAGCTCTTTGTCCAGTTTCTGCTCAACTATTTCCTTCCTAGTGACGTCTCCCCCAACACCGGCAGGAGGACCGAAGGAGAGAAAGGAAGACGGCGCACCCTGCGCGAAGGTCGGGCGCGCAGGGCTGGGGTGGGGCCTGTCAGCAGAGGCCTCTTCTGTAGTCGTGGGCCAATGGTCTCTCACCCCCTTGTTGCCCATCAGCTGCGTCCCTTCGAGGCGGAAATCTCCCAGCTGGAATTCTGTCCTGGATACTGCTTGGTGGAGGGACACTTTGGACCTCTGATGGTTCAGTCCCTTCTGTGGAGAGGCCTTGGGGCTCAGCCACCCAGTTCTCATCCCAGGTGCACCCTTTGCTAGCCAGGGGGACACGCCGCTTCAGTGTCTCCACCTGTGAGATAGGTGTGATGAGCGTGGACAGACCTGTAAGCTCCGAAGTGCCCCTGGCAGGTAGCCAGCTCCGTGTGGGCACAGGGAGCCTTCCTCCTCGGACAGATGGGTGAGCTCCAGGAGGCCACACGTGGGCCGCTGCTTCCGCACAGATCCTGGCACCGCCGAGGGTCTGCTGTCGGACTCTGTTTGCATGAGGACGTGTGGGTGCCTCTTCCTTTGTCCTCGGACAGCGCTCATTCAGCACTGATTGGGCACCTGCTGGGGGCCAGCGGGGCTCTAGGTGCAGTGAGCCGGGCGGCTCCCTCGAGGCTGTCATGGAGAACAAGTAGACAGACAGGATTCGGGTCAGCAGCCCGGCCGCCGGGGCCAAGGCCCATCTAGCTCCAGTTTTCTCATCAATAAAATTTTATTCACGGGGCGCCTGGGTAGCTCAGTGGGTTAAGCCTCTGCCTTGGGCTCAGGTCATGATCTCAGGGTCCTGGGATCGAGCCCTGCGTTGGGCTTCCTGCTCAGTGGCGAGCCAGCCTGCTTCTCCCTCTCTCTCTGCCTGCCTCTCTGCCTACTTGTGATCTCTGTCTGTCAAATAAATAAATAAAATCTTTAAAAAAAATTTTTATTCGCACACAGCCACACCCGCAGACTCACAGACTTGTCTGTGAGCACTTTTGCTTATGGACCTTATGGCTGACAGAGTCAGAAATACTCATGGTCTCATGCTTTATGGGAAATGTTTGCCTTCGCCTGGATGAGAGTGTGCTGGTCAGTGGCGAGCACGTAGTGGGGAAAGAAATCAGTGTCGTGGTGTTGCCAGGGGGAAGTGACCTTGGGAGGAAAGCAGCACAGGTCCAGTGTTCTGGTAGAGGATTTGACTGTGCAAAGGCCCTGAGGTAGGAACGAGTTTGATTCATTTGATCCATGGAAACAAAGTCCATGTTTTGGGGGCCCTGAAATAGATAGGGCCAGTCATTGGAGGCGGTGGCAGGTGGGTGGTGTGGCCTAGCACTCTGGACAGTCGATGGGGAAGAAGTGTCCTGGGGCAGGCAGGTGAGCTATGCTGAGCCAGGCTGGGGGCCTGGATGGAGGCTGGGGGGGTATGGGTTGAGGGGGTTGGGGGAGCTGAGGAACCCAGGAAGGATTGGCCTGTGCCCTGGAGCTTGTGGGGGGGGGGCGATGGGGAGGGCCCCAGAAGGAGCATGTTCCAGTGGGCTCATGCTGATGTGGGAAGGGCAGGCAGGGTCTTGACCTCAGTCTTGACCCAGGGCTGACCCTGCCATCGCCTTGGAT